ACCACTGCGTCAGCTTACCATTGAACAGATTTCAGTTATACCAATGCGTCAGTTTACCATTGAACAGATTTCAGTTATACCACTGCGTTAGCTTACCATTGAAAAACATTTCAGCTATACCTCTGCGTGTCACCCTACCACGGGAGTAAAACCCAAACTGACGCAGATCGGATCCTTGTATAAGTAGGCGAAACCATCGAAAGAAAGGGAATGGTGGTGACAAACCAAGGAAGTGAGCGAAAATGGGATTCGAACACACCACCAGAATATCAAGTAGTGAGTGAGTGAGTGAGTGAGTTGAGTTTAACGCCGCCTTTAACAGTATTCCAGTTATATCACGGCGTGTCAGCTTAATGTGGGAGGAAAGCCCGAAGTGATGCAGGTCTCAGACGTTTACCACTTCGGTGAAACCAACGAGCACGGGTATGGTGCTGACAAACCTAGATTCGAACCCACAATCATAGGTTTCTGGCGTGTTTCACAGCGAGTTACAGTTTCCCTATAAAGTGCCCCTGTCGACCTATCCGGAGTGTCAATATAAGCGCGGTGAGGGTCTGTTTGGGCCGTAAAGTTACATCTTCTGGAACGAGTTTAATAAGTTCGAGTTAAAAGAGGTTTCGTTGACACACTAGCCATTGATTTAAGTTATTCGAGTCCTGATAACCAACATTTTGAAAGTGAAATGCCCAAAACAATGTGGCAAAGGAAGAGAATTTATGGATGTCAACTTCTTCATTGTGAGGAACACAACGTTTCGGAGTATATGCTTACTCCTTCATCATGTGAAGGAGTAAGCATATACTCCGATGATGAATATATACTCACATGATGAAGGAGTAACTGTAAGCATACGCTCCGAAACGTTGTGTTCCTCACAATGAAGAAGTTGACATCCATAGATTCTCTTCCTTATGTGTATCACTTCTAAATGCCTTTCAAAGACTTGACAATGTGGCTAGTAAATACAAAATCATGTCTGCCTTAGGTTTGATTAAGGGAGTCCATCGTGACATTGCTGCTCTTGCGGAGTAATCTTCGTGCGAGAGATCGACATATTTCGTTTAAGTGAAAGCTGTTTGATGCTGCTGTGAATTTCAATCTCGACAGGATACTAATTTTCTTACTAACATCACATCAATGTAATGCAGCGTGCAACAGAAAAAAAGCCGAGTTTGTGTGATTTAATTTGGATTGAAAGGCTTCATTACATCAAAGGTTTGAAAGTTAATTAGAAAACATAAAAGCGCCTAAACTAAGGCCCCAGGACAAATGTAAAGATCGTCGTTAAAATGAAAATAATGTGAATTATCGAATATAATACTTGTATAAAAAAACTTAGTTCAGGTTGTCTTGGGAACTTATTAGAAACAATTAAGAACATTAACACGTGGTGTTCCATATCGTTGACAGGATCACTGAGTAGGACACATACATATTTTACGACAAACGGTACAATGAACCGTATAATGTACGTTTCTGTTATTGTTCATAGATCATGCCACATTCATCAAAACTAGTAACTAGTTCCAGTCTTTTTTTAGGTGAACAGTTGACTTGCCTTTGCATGTCTTTCTGACGGGCGCCACCGGTTGAAAAGGATACCGTCACCTTTTATCACTATTTGATAGTGATGCATAAGCACATGTTTATGATAGAGTCGGTTTTGTACAATGGTCTCTGCTTTTAGTACAGAATCTCTGATTATGGAAAAAGAATTGACGCTTTTTAATAAAATTGCACATGTACCCTCCTTTAGTCCTGCACCATGACCGTGAAATATATTTATTTTATGATAAAATAATAATCTAGAAATGCATACAAGAGCAAGTCTAGCCAGCTCAAGCTAGCTCTATTCCACAAATCTGAAATCAGCATAGGGAATTTTTTTTATTTTTAGAGTCAAGAAGGATATTGTGTAATATAAGATTTCAGAGACTAAATGTTAGTCTAACCCTCCTTATATCCAACTAAATATCTTTAATGTCCAGGGACGGGGGATTGCCTATGAAACATTATAATGCAATCTGTTGATTGACGAGATAATAACTTAAGAAATCCCGGCCTTTATATATTCCTTCTGCTCAGTATGAGGTTAAGATTTACAAGTTTAATGACAACACTAATCGTTTCGTGCAGAGTTGAAAAATATTTCAATGGATCGAAAAGTTTGCTTGAGACCTGTTTTGGACATTTTAGTGAACATAGAATGTTAGTAATTGTCGGGAAACTGTTGACCGTTAGTTTAGTCAGACCGTTTCTCGCAGACACCAAACTGATAATACTTCTATACCATAGTAATCGTTATCATGTTGTACCAAGAAATAGACAACGTGAATGGCATAACCGGTATGACCGTAGGTCACCGCTTCATTATCACCGGTAGCTACACACTCACCTGGCCCCATAGTAAATCTTATCACACGGGAACATGGATACGTAAAGAAAGTGACATTGACATCCTTTCATGCGTTGTTATGTACAGACGCAGCTATCGTGTTTATTGCATCAGGCCTTGTTAGATATATCCTGGATACGGTGTCAATTTCACCTTAACCTACAAATGTGCAGTTGATCCCGTTTCTTGTGGCGCATGAATGCCAGTGGAATCGACAATGCGTACGGTGACAGCTGAATGATGGTTTAATTGTACCTTTGACACCTTTACATCCAGTGTACATTTCATTGCGCCATGCCCCAGGCCAGTTAGTTTTATCAAACCGCATTTTGACAAGTACAAATCTGTTGTTTCTATGTGTGTTCAAAACACTGAGTCTTGGCTAATACGAATTGATTTTAAAGGTGGTCGAGATCGTTACATCCGAATTAAGTTGACTCCATCCTACACAGATGAATAAACCCTAAATGATTTTGTCTGTTATCATCATCATCATCATCATAATCATAAATTACCATCATCATCATCACCATCATAAATTACCATCATCATCATCATCATCATTATCATCACCATCATAAATTACAATCATCATCATCGTCGTAGTCGTTGCTATAATATAGCATTATGGGTGTAATAATCATATTAGTATGATGAGGAGGAGCCTTTGTTTCTCATCTAATTAAATATTGAAAGCAATGTTAAAGATGAGTAGAGATTGTGCCATGTGGACCTTACCAGATCCTTATATTAATGACGAACGACATAGCTGCTCTAGACTAACGCTTAGTCTGTAAACATATATTTTGGATTTTAATATAATTTGGATAGAAATAAATAACACCATATAAATGGAAAAGGAACCCCTGAGATGGGGCATTACCTGACGAAAATCTAGACTTGGTTCAGGGACAGAGCGACAGACCAATACTGCTCATAAAAGTACGTCTTGTTTCTCATCATCAACCGACCCAACATTCGGTTCCGGTTCCGAAACAAGAAAAACCTTTTCTATGGTCCCATCCAACAATGCTTACCAAGCATATTACAAACTCACCAACCGCCTTTAATACTCGTGTAAAGTAGGAAGGGCCTGTTAAAGGCGATGGAAATAAGCTAAGCCTTCCAATTAATACAGTTATGCATACAATGTATGATAACGAGTTATAAGTAACCATATATGTGAAACATATACCGACCTTTGCGTTAATCTCTACGTACAATAACCGGATAGAACAGAAAATAACGTTCCCGGCACAGCTGATGTCCAAAAGCCCGCGTTGCCGACAGCCGGTAGCATTGTTCTACCTGAGCATATTTGTCATTCTACCTATTTTGTGTACATAAATCCATAAATCCAGTTTGCCAAAATGTGTATTAAAATAACCATTTTCATTTTGTTCTTACAGAAGTAAGGAACGTGCCATTCAACAAGTAATAGTCTTAAGAAGCGACTGACGGGATCGGGGGACAGGCTCGCTGACTTGGTTGATGCATTTCATCGTATCCCAATTGCGTGGATCGATGCTTATGATGTCAATCACTGGAGTGTCTGGTCCAGACTACTATTTACAGGCCGCCGTTATATAGCTATAATATTGCTGAGTGTGGTGTTAAAAAACAAACAAACAAACAAAACCAACAAGTAATATTCTTCAGTCGTGATAAAAATAATCTAGTTACTTCTTTGCTGTTTTATTTTTGTTGAGAAAGTCTCTCAGTTGGATGAAAGTATCGCAAGCCTAAACCACATGGGTCCGTTGGCGTGTAACGCACGCATTTGCAAGCCGTCTTTAAATCATTAACTGAAGGTATGGCTATTTCGATAGTAAGGACCAACACGGTACTAGACTGGCTTTAGACACTTCTACATTGTGAATACACAGTACCGTGAGTATCACAGTTTTATACAGAGACAGGCAGATTGGCCGATACACAATCAGAAAACCGTTTGTTCATAGTTAAAATAAAGCCAACACGAATTACACCCGTAACGTTATGAATCCTACACATCATAACTTTAAACTATCTCAACTTACATTCAACTTAAGATAATTAAAGAGTTATATAAAGAAATATAACGAGTTATGATTTCCGATGTCTTTTCATTAATGCGAAATGACCCGAGAGACACATAATATTCATTTCTGGTTTGTTTTTTCAGCAATATTCCATCAATAGTACGACGGGGGCATAAAAAATGGGCTTTACACATTGTGGAAATCGAACTCGGGCTTCGACGTGACGAGCGTACGTTTTAACAACTTGTCTACCCACCTCCCCATTAACGCAGATTATAGGATCACGCCAATTGAGTCTTACAAAATGTCTTTCCAAAGATACTTAACCTCCATTGAGGTTATTAAGCTAAAATGTTATTATTCAAATGAATCTAATACATGTAGTTAATGGTTACCCTTAATGCACACAGGGAACATCTCAATTTGACGTAATTTGCTAATTATTACGTCTAGACTAAGACCGAGAACAGACACGAGAGCGTAGAGCGTAGTTAACCCTTCAGCAGTGGAATGAAACAGACCATGTTCTCACATAAAATCGGGTAGGATTCCCTGCTCGTTCTACTGAAACTAATCGATATTACCTCCATTGTTTCGCTCCGTCTGCAGGTAAGGAAGGCTCTGATTACAGGTGAACGAACGCCGGAACGTGTTGTCACTAGCTGGTAAATCACCACAGAAAATCAATGGTATTTCCCAGGCTTCGGGCCTCGGTTGTCCTCCAGGTAAAGCGACAAATATTTGGTCGACACAAATATTTCGGTATCAGAGTTAAGTTGCTGCGAAGCTGCGATGCGGCAAAGTAGGTCGCTGTTCTTGAGAGAAGGCAGACTTAGCGTAACAATGAATACTTCAGAGTGGAATATATTTCACCAGAATGATTTCCAGTTCAGTTATACAACAGTTCACAAACTCTTAGACTTGTGCGAGATTTCAGGAGAGATTGGCACAGATGCTATTCTTTATAGATCCAATTAAACCAGCACTTGTAGCTTCGAGATGTTTCTTTCTGAAGAATGAGATCCTAGAGCACTATAAGCAGAATCCGTCTACGTATATAAAATTCCCCCGTCAGCAGGTATAATCCTCTATACCACAGACCCTATTAATCACAGCTGGAGAAACTTGGGGATTTACTACACGCTGAAACTGATAACCCTAGTCATTGTTTTTGACACACACATGAATATTCACACTCCATAATGTCATCATGGTGTATAGTACAGTCAGCAATATTTGAATGCAGCACCCTTAGCATGTCTTCAAGCACAAGAGTCATCGGAAACCACGCTATGTGGTTAATCTGCAGATTGTCAGTGTTTCTTGGGTTATATAATGCTTTGAACCTTTCCACATCATCAGTACGAATTAGCTAGTTCCTGAAAGCCAGGTGGATGGTGCTAACAGCTGAGGCAACAAGGATGCAGAACACAGCCCCTACGAATGTCTGAATGGCACATCGAGGCAATGAGGCGTGTTTCAGAGGTGCCCCGTCGTAGGATCAGCTTTGTATCACCTTTTAAGCCAACTCCCAACCGAACATGTAAGGCATGTCAATTTGTTAAGTCGAGTCGAGGATCGCTTAGTTTTCCTTGTATCATCCGTCAATATTGCCATACACGGTTGCTAGGAAACGAGCAGACGATACACGGCCTGACCGTCTGAACACAACATCCGAATCGTGGCTTAAAACTGAACCGCGGACACCGTGGCGACTGGAGCTTAGAAATATCCCCTCCGACAGATTTATCTTTGTATTCATCAATATAATAGCCCCAAACGTAGATACGCTGTAGAAATGTCGCTACGTCGCTTGAGATGCGCTCCTTTCATTCAGGTAACTATAACGCTCAGGTTTCAAAAGCAAGAGTTAAACACAATACATGAATATTTAAAACCACTGTAGCACTACACGCTTTGATTCTTCAGTCAGCTCAATTATTTATGTAATGGTGGTGTATTTTAAATGTCATTTCGGTTTTGCATAACAGCCTCAGAACAAACCGCTACTGTTTAAATTTAGATGTACGCTGAAACTCGCTGACATTTCAGGCGTCAACAAAAGCAATATCTCCGTTTTTTCGTCTCCGAATTTACGTTTACGCCAGGAGCAGGCGATTCACGTTCCAATTCCTTGTATACATGACAATTATTGTGCATATTCCGTAGTAGATTTTACTCAAACATAAATCCCTAAAAAAAGGTGATTATGGAACGAGGACGTACAGTCATACAACTATTTAAAAGTGGTGATATTCATATCTCTGTTATTGACAACAATACATGTAAGGAGTGATACTGATGTCTTCTCGTGTATATGATTCAGTTATGCTAATGTCTTTGCATGACTGCTTTTATCGACGACGACAAGCACAAAATTGTCCTCTACTATTAAATGTACTCTGCATTGAAAAAACACGCACCTGATTCGAAACGACGTTTCATGTCACAGTTGGCAATCATAGCAACACAAAAAAGGTTACAACTGAGACCTGGCCTTGAGAGTTGGTTATTTAATATCCTATTTCTGTAGACATTGTGAGCTCCAGTACCCTTCAAGGTTCGGATCAAAGCGTTTTACATTGTAAGATAGTAACTCAAAACACAAGACATATTGTAATGAAACCGAAAAGACCCGAATCAGGAAAGGAACACTCTGTACCACGTGTCACGTTAGGGAGAGCGATGGGTGGTCGAGTAGTACAAGCGTTCGCAAGTCACGCTCATGACGAAGATTCCAGACACCGCATGCTTCACATTGATACTTCTTCGTACATTTAATCCATAAGCCATCACACTACTGTCAAGACTTGAACTCGTGTACCCTAAGAATATAGGCCATCAGCAACCCATGCTTGTCGTAAGACGGTCAGCCTCGGTGACTTGGTTGATTCCATACCATTGGATCTAAACTGCATCGATCGATGCTCATGATGTCAATCACTGGAATGTCTGCTCTAGACTCAGTTATGTACAGGCATCAGCACATGCTTGTCGTAAGAAGGTCAGCCTTAGGTGATTTGGTTGATTGCATACCATTGGATCTAAACTGCATCGATCGATGCTCATGATGTCAATCACTGGAATGTCTGCTCTAGACTCAGTTATGTACAGGCATCCGTCATATAGCTGGAATATTGCTGAGTGGGGCCCTAAACAACAAATAAACTAATCCTTTCGTACAATATGTCGTTGAAGACGATGCAACATTAAAGTACCGGTTAAATCCTAGATTTAAAATTTTGGTCTATTCCCGATACATCGCCTTTCTCGAGTGAGTGAGTGTGTATGGTTTTACGCCGCTTTTAGCAATATTCCAGCAATATCACGGCGGGGGACACCAGAAATGGGCTTCACACATTGTACCCATGTCGGGAATCGAACCCGGGTCTTCAGCGTGACGAGCGAACGCTTTAACCTCTCAGCTACCCGACCGCCCCCGCCTTTCTCGAACTATGGATAAGTCGATGTATTTTTGTCGGGGTTTCGCTGTTAGAAGATAGTGCAAAGGGTTCACGAACTTTTCCCTAATACAATCTCCACAGTCCCACGTAGGCTGTTGTCGTACCTGTCTTGTCAAATGAAATTGAATAGATAACAGCCATTATAGTTGGACATGTGATTGACAGGTAGCAATAAGGTTCCTCACATTTAAAGACGCTAGGTAACATACTTCAGGTACAACAGGTATGCATTGTGACAAGACTACATATTTAGTAAACCACTGTGAATACCGCCATGTTAACGCCGAATGTACGTCACAACGGATTTCAAATTAGACCCATATTAGTAGGTGTACTGCTGGTCTGAGAGCATGATTTGTCTCTCATGTTTGTGGGTGTACTGCTGGTCTGACAGCATGATTTGTCTCTCATGTTTGTTGGTGTACTGCTGGTCTGAGAGCATGACTTGTCTCTCATGTTTGTGGGTGTACTGCTGGTCTGACAGCATGATTTGTCTCTCATGTTTGCGGGTGTACTGCTGGTCTGACAGCATGATTTGTCTCTCATGTTTGTGGGTGTACTGCTGGTCTGAGAGCATGACTTGTCTCTCATGTTTGTGGGTGTACTGCTGGTCTGACAGCATGACTTGTCTCTCATGTTTGTGGGTGTACTGCTGGTCTGACAGCATGATTTGCCTCTCATGTTTGTAGGTGTACTGCTGGTCTGACAGCATGACTTGCCTCTCATGTTTGTAGGTGTACTGCTGGTCTGACAGCATGACTTGTCTCTCATGTTTGTGGGTGTACTGCTGGTCTGACAGCATGATTTGTCTCTCATGTTTGTGGGTGTACTGCTGGTCTGACAGCATGATTTGTCTCTCATGTTTGTACTTGTACTACTGTTCTGACAGCATGACTTGTCTCTCATGTTCGTGGGTGTACTGCTGGTCTGACAGCATGATTTGTCTCTCATGTTCGTAGGTGTACTACTGTTCTGACAGCATGACTTGTCTCTCATGTTTGTGGGTGTACTGCTGGTCTGACAGCATGATTTGTCTCTCATGTTTGTAGGTGTACTACTGTTCTGACAGCATGACTTGTCTCTCATGTTTGTGGGTGTACTGCTGGTCTGACAGCATGATTTGTCTCTCATATTTGTAGGTGTACTATTGGTCTGACAGCATGACTTGTCTCTCATGTTTGTGGGTGTACTGCTGGTCTGACAGCATGACTTGCCTCTCATGTTTGTAGGTGTACTACTGGTCTGACAGCATGATTTGTCTCTCATGTTTGTGGGTGTACTGCTGGTCTGACAGCATGATTTGTCTCTCATGTTTGTGGGTGTACTGCTGGTCTGACAGCATGACTTGTCTCTCATGTTTGTGGGTGTACTGCTGGTCTGACAGCATGACTTGTCTCTCATGTTTGTGGGTGTACTGCTGGTCTGACAGCATGACTTGTCTCTCATGTTTGTGGGTGTACTGCTGGTCTGACAGCATGACTTGCCTCTCATGTTTGTAGGTATACTGCTGGTCTGACAGCATGACTTGTCTCTCATGTTTGTGGGTGTACTGCTGGTCTGACAGCATGATTTGTCTCTCATGTTTGTGGGTGTACTGCTGGTCTGACAGCATGATTTGTCTCTCATGTTTGTACTTGTACTACTGTTCTGACAGCATGACTTGTCTCTCATGTTCGTGGGTGAACTGCTGGTCTGACAGCATGATTTGTCTCTCATGTTCGTAGGTGTACTACTGTTCTGACAGCATGACTTGTCTCTCATGTTTGTGGGTGTACTGCTGGTCTGACAGCATGATTTGTCTCTCATGTTTGCGGGTGTACTACTGTTCTGACAGCATGACTTGTCTCTCATGTTTGTGGGTGTACTGCTGGTCTGACAGCATGATTTGTCTCTCATATTTGTAGGTGTACTATTGGTCTGACAGCATGACTTGTCTCTCATGTTTGTGGGTGTACTGCTGGTCTGACAGCATGACTTGCCTCTCATGTTTGTAGGTGTACTACTGGTCTGACAGCATGATTTGTCTCTCATGTTTGTGGGTGTACTGCTGGTCTGACAGCATGATTTGTCTCTCATGTTTGTGGGTGTACTGCTGGTCTGACAGCATGACTTGTCTCTCATGTTTGTGGGTGTACTGCTGGTCTGACAGCATGACTTGTCTCTCATGTTTGTGGGTGTACTGCTGGTCTGACAGCATGACTTGCCTCTCATGTTTGTAGGTGTACTGCTGGTCTGACAGCATGACTTGTCTCTCATGTTTGTGGGTGTACTGCTGGTCTGACAGCATGACTTGTCTCTCATGTTTGTGGGTGTACTGCTGGTCTGACAGCATGACTTGACTCTGATTTTTGTGGGTGTACTGCTGGTCTGACAGCATGATTTGTCTCTCATGTTTGTGGGTGTACTGCTGGTCTGACAGCATGATTTGTCTCTCATGTTTGTAGGTGTACTACTGTTCTGACAGCATGACTTGTCTCTCATGTTTGTGGGTGTACTGCTGGTCTGACAGCATGATTTGTCTCTCATGTTTGCGGGTGTACTGCTGGTCTGACAGCATGATTTGTCTCTCATGTTTCTCTCATGAGAACGGTAAACCTTCATTTCGGATGGTACAATTCTCACTGAATTCGCCTGGATTGACAAGTGTCCGGATTAACGAAATATGACCATGGTGTAAACATTAAGGAGAAATGTCCTTATTCAAGTATTTTGGAGGGGGATGGGGTGGGGTCACTGTTTAACCTGTAGACATTTTACGGAATGTATTCTCCATTAATACCGTTTTGCAAACATTGTTCTATACTGTTTACTGAAAGACAGTTGTAGATGGGAGCGTCATGTATGTTGACCATAGACCGACTGCAAACATAACCGCACAGTGATGCAGTGGATAGAGCGTCTACACGAAGCGCGGAAGGTCGTGGGTTCGATTCCCTTGGGCCGTCATACCCTCACATTATACTTTGTCAACCGGTCTGGTGCTCATCATAAAGGAGACGGGCCGGCACGGGTGGCCCAGTCGTCCAAGGCGCCGCGATTCGCTGTGCAGAGTTGCGTCCCTTGGGCACGCCGGAAACCTATGATTGTGGGTTCGAATCCCGGTTCGCCCCAATTATGTTTCTAGGTTTCTCAGCACCATACCCGTGCTCGTATGTTTCACCGAAGTGGTAAACGTCTGAGACCTGCATCACTTCGGGTTTTCCTCCCACATTAAGCTGACACGCCGGGATATAACTGTAATACTGTTAAAAGCGGCGTTAAACCCAACTCACTCACTTATTAAGGATACGGGCCTGCACGGGGTCTGTATAATGTGAGTCGGGTATCCATGACACTGCGACATGACATCTCAGTGGACTTACACTAAAATTCGGCATATGTCCGAACAGGTACAAGCAACCTAACACGTACACCATATATCATATAAGTGAAATATTCTTGAACGCGATGTTAAACCCCATTTCACCTCACCTCACCTAATGTATGCTGAGAAGACCATAGCCTTGCACGTACACGATCCAGCTTGCGATACTAAAGTAGGTACACACAGTGAATTGTAACCCATACCTTCGGCGTTGACCTTTTGACCAGTCTGTGAAATAAGACTTCTTATCGGAATATTATATAGCTCAGCGTTAGGTAGGCTTTAAGACATCGCCACATGACAGCACAATTACTTTAAGAGGGGGGTAACAAAGTGAGGCTTGATGAGAACTAAGAAACATGAGTCATTTCCCTCATCATTAACGATGTTATTTTATCATCATCATCATCATCATCACCATAATCATCATCGTCGTCATCATTAACATCATTGGAATATATTTACGTGACATTTTATAAGTTGTATTCCTCATCAACATTATCATGCTGTTCGAAGATTAACATCGTCTACAAGCAAAATCCCCTCGCCATAAAAGTAATGATTTGAGGGCATTTTTTCTCTGTCAATGCTCCAAATCACACTACATTTGTACTACAGCTAAGTACTTACTGCCCAAACATGTCCTTTGTGGCGATGTCATGGAGTAAATTTGTCCATGTCAAGACGGAGCCAAGTTCTTGACCACATTGTTATCCCTGACCAAATGACTTCACTTGGACCTCAAAGGTCATCTTGGCGTTACGCGGCTGGCCAGAGGGTGCAGATATTCTGGTCAAGCTGTGTGTAAACTGACCACAACACCCTCGACATTACTGGCCAAGGAGAACGGTATTGGTAAACATGTCGTCTGCTCCAACACCAGTAAACCGGACCAAGATCTGTTCAACCTTTTCACTCAGGCGAAGAAACCACTAGGTAAACATAGCTGAACCCTCCCTAGGTGACCCCAGGTCACAGGTCAGAGTTGAGAGAGGTCATCTGGTTTGGACTTCAAGATGCAAATACGACTGTTACTTTAGCAGCGGAGCCTGAGCTGAGTTTGTTGACACAAAATCACGTTTGGGGCCTGTGAGCTGTACTGCACCGCCCTTCATGTGTATAGAAAACCCCAAAATGAATAGCCTGTGTAACTACACTAGGACACGTCGGTAATAAAACACAAAACCAATGTACCCCTAAAATTCATGTTCAGGGCCATTCAAAAGACAAACTCAGCCCTTAACAAGTATGGATAGACAGTAGTCAGTGTGTTAATGAGACAACGACACAGGTCTCAGTTTCTCATCATTACCTCTCATTCCATTAAGATCAAAGACAGTGCCCCCACACAAGACGCTATCAATCACAACAGTTTTGTTGTCTATATGCCGGCGCATAGGCCAGGGCGAGCTAGGAGAGCCCAGATACTGGATATAGTATCATGGTTAAAACCGCAGCACAATAAAGCACAGTTTAAAAGATAGGATAAATCCAGCACAATCAGAAGTCTGTCTGGCAGGAGAGTTACATACAACAGATACCCCTCTGCCCAAAAGTTTCATGTCATTGGTACACACTTATTAACGACATAAGACCTTTTGTATTATTCTGTATTTATTACACGACTTATTTGTTGACGTGTGTTACCTGCATATCATAATAAGTTATCAGGGCAATATGATATGTCACAGTGAAACCCCGTTAATCCGGAAGCTATTGTTCTCACTGAAATACTCCGGATGAACATGTTCAGGTTTACCGGGTCATTATTACAGAGCAATGAGCATTTGTATAGACGTAATCAGTCCAAGCAGTAATCTTTCTGAATGTCCGGATTAACGGGTTCACACTGTAAAGAATCTATCGCAATAAAAATGAAGAATTATAACATTTAATTTACTTCGTCTTTATACTTCAATCGCAAACAGGATCAACAATTTTACGGCACTTTTAATGTATAGCTCTTGTTTGAAGGTGAAAGTACCGAAACGAATAATTTGTTTCACAAATTACGGCCCTAAAGACTTTTAGAGAAAGATTAAACGATCTTCTCACAGCAACTGTTAATATTCATCTAATGATCTTATATCAATTATTAGAGGTTATTTTCACTTTTTAAAAAGTCTTAGTTGAAAGCCAGAATTTAACCCATTTGGGAAGGCAATCTGTTCAGAAAATGAGATAAGCCAAATAATAAATTCATAAATATCAAAAAGAGGAGGCGATTCAAGCGAACAAATTATCAATTTGTTGGGGGCGTAACGATGCCATTTTGAAATCTAACAGGGAAATGTAATCATGATCAAACGAACGAGGTTTTAGTGATCATCATAGAATGAAATGTCACCTCTCAAATTATACATGAACACTGCAACTAGGACATAACTTTCTCGTTGACAAGGCATATATTGCTTTCTCATAAAACAAAACCATAATATACTTATCAAAAGATTAAGGATTATCCAATTATTTCATATCACTTC